CACTGTCTTCACCCCATCTACAATTATCTTGGTCCACAAAGCTCTAAAAAGAAGTCCGGAAGGCCATATTCCGTCTTTATTGTGTATCTCTTCAGGAACATTCCACAAGCTCTCTGTTTGCTATGTGATTCAGCGTAATTCAATCCTTCGTGGGTGCATGGTCTTCTCTCGGACCCATTTTTTACCGCGAGTCTTCGTGCGCGCTGTTCGCCCTTCTTATCTTCTCCAGTACCGATGTGGTCGCATATGCGTTTGAAAATACGAGCCAGGGCTGCCATTGAGTCTCGAAGAAGCTGTTCGTACTAAGTACTATGCAAATGACGGAGTCCGACGACCCGAATTCATCGCGCTCATACCAGAATGCGCGAGGAATAACCCCGCGCTTAATCGCCGTTTCTTCCGGTCATCAAAATGGTTTATATGCTCTGAAATTACTTTGAATATCCTTTGGCCCGTTCGTCGTTGTCCTATCCCTAGCCTCACACCAATGAGCAGGCTTATTCGAATCCTTTCCCTATCTCTGCCTATAGTTGCCCTAGCATCATCACCATTGCACAGGCATGCATTTGGAGTCACTACGGATGCCAGCTCTGCGAATGGTCAAACTTTTGACTACATTATCGTCGGAGGTGGACTCGCAGGGCTCACTGTTGCTGGACGTCTCTCTGAGGACTCCGCGAAACCCGTGCTCGTCATTGAAGCTGGGGACGACGACCGAACAAACAAGAGTGTATATGACGTTACACAATATGGGGCTGCATTTGGTTCAAGCCTGACATGGACTTGGGAAACGGACTTGGGTAGGGGCATCTTAGGGTCAGTATCTGATTCTTTTGACTTGATCGGTAAATTGCGAGATTATTTAACTTTGTTCCGGATATTCCTCCTAGCGGGCGAACTCTAGGAGGGAGTAGCTCTATTAATGGGGCCGTATGGACTCGGGGTATGAAGGAACAATACGACGCATTCGCGCAGCTTCTGGGCGAAGAAGACGCGAGCTTGAACTGGAACTTCGACTCCTTGTTTGAATATATGAAGAAGGTACGGGAAAAGATTTGCTCCTCGGATATCTAATAAACTCCCTTTGTGTCAATAAGTTCCATGGCTTTGTAGGGCCTGTTCATGCTGCTTTCCCGCAAGCCATGTTTGGAGGTCCTCAACAACCTGCATTTGTCGATGCTGTGCGCAACTTGTCGGAATCAAGCTTTGTCCGGACGTGAATGGTGGAAATATCAATTGTGTGAGCTACACGCCTAATTCGGTAAATCCGAAAGATTATGATCACCGCTGCTCCTCCGCCACGGCGCATCTCTCGCCAGTTGAAAATGAGCGAACGAATTGGATAACTCTCATTAATCACCAGGTGACCAACGTGATCCTTTCCGGATCAGTGCCGAACGTGACTGCTACGGGCGTGCATTTCAAGAAGTCTGATAACACTGGCGACGTTTTTACGGCAAATGCACGTTCGGATATCATACTCTCAGCTGGTACAATTGGTACACCGCAATTGCTTCAGATATCCGGTATTGGCGACCCGTCTGTCTTGAGTCCACTCGGCGTCGAAGTCAGGGTGAATCTTTCGACTGTCGGCAAAAACCTCATGGAGCGAACAAAGAGTAACCTTGGACAGTCCACTCAGCCTACATTCGACAAGGACGGGCTTGGTCCGTCCGATTGTATCGCCTACCCATCGCTAAAAGAACTCTCCGAAAATGCCGGTTCAAATGGGAGCGTGACAGGGAACGAGATAGCAGACTATATCATGAGCTCATATGAATCGGGGGCGGAGAGTCAGGCGGAATATGGGTTAAATGCAGACGCTCTTAAGACAATATTCGGCATGCAAGCCGGATTGATCGTTAATACCAGTGGTATAGAAAGCTGGCTATTTTAAGACGTCTTTGTACTGATTTATATTTTCACTTAGCGCCCGTTGCTGAGCTTCTGTTCTTCACCGATGGCGACACGTAATATGCTTATGCTAATTACACACACTCAATTCACTAACGATTGCATTCGTAGTGGTCTTGGTATCAGCATGTGGCAGCTTGTTCCTTTCAGCCGCGGAAGGGTCACAATTAACGACACAAGCATCTTCTCAAAACCAGCTATAACCGTAAACTGGTTCAGCGTCGATGTTGATCATACAGACTGCGGCAACTCGCCTATCCCGCAAAGTCCTTAACTATACTTCGTTTGATGCAATCACATCCGGCGAAATAGTGCCTGGGCTTGGTGTAGTACCAAATGATGGGAACGGTGGAGCGGACGACGCATGGGTCGCTTGGATTCAAGCTCCGGCACCCAACGGGTTTTCTGCAGTTTGGCACGAGATAGGTACGGCGGCGATGATGCGACGTGATTTGGGCGGTGTCGTAGACGGAAAGTTACGCGTATATGACACAAAGAACCTACGAGTTGTCGATGCGAGCGTACTTCCTCTTCACGTCAGTGCACACTTGAGTAGCACCCTGTATGGAGTTGCGGAGAAGGCAGCGGACATTATCAAGTTCGGCGTGTAATTATTAATGGGAAGTGTTGGAGGACGATTATCGCCGTTCGCTTGGTGGATGAGACTTTCTGCTGACGTGGTATGCAGTCGTTCTTGCTTTCGTTTAGTCAAAATATGGTGCGGTATCTTGTCCTCTAGTAGTGAGGCGAATCTAAAGCTCTTACGAACATTAGTCTGCCGTGTAGAAATCGAGTTCTTTTGAAATGGTGTCTAGTTGATGACGTCACTAGGGTGACCCCTCAAGGTTCCTCGTTTCTTTCAGCTGCCGACCAGCCAGATCTGTCTCTCTCTTCATGATGTTCTCCGCCCACATCTCCTCTTGGATTCTCAAATGAGTCAGTGGAGCTGACAACGTAGCTTATCCCTTTGTGAAACCGTGAGTATCAAGTAAGTCTAACAATCGATACATAAGGATTACAACCTTCGGCTTTTGGTTAGAGCTTGATCGATGGAGGCATCTGATTATTAATTAACTAGGAGCATTTCAGTGCTCCACACCGCAGTCTAGAACCAAAGTGGACGGTAAATATTACTCAAAGCACTGGTAAGGCACATCCTATACATCACAAATGCCCGTACTAATGCTCAGGCCAAGAAATGTCTCGCATACAGATCCACTCATCTCCT